AAAAAAAAAAAAAAAAAAAAAAAAAAAAAAAAAAAAAAAAGGCAAGGGTAATGAAGTTCAAAGCGAGCTGCTGGACTCACATCAGTTTGATGGTACTAACAACTTTTGCAGACTGATTCTTTGGTAAACTGACAAAAGTTTTTCAAACTGATGTGTCTTGAATCTCAATTCTTTGGAAAGAGTGACAATTTTTCGTCGGGTTTTGAAACTCAGTACCATTCAGCTGCAGCCGCATGCGGCGGCGGCTGAATGGTACTGAGTTCAACCTGATGACGTCAGAAGCGCAAAATAACTCTGAAATTCTGAATTGCATTGAGACAGGTCAGTTCAATGACTATACCTAAAAGCTGTCACCTTTTTTGAAAGGAAAAAAAAAAAAAGAAAGGTCATCTAAAGATTCTAAACACACTCACCTGCCCAGCAAAAAGCTCAATCTTTTGATCATTAGCAACATTAACCACCTTCAGCGACGGCTCCGGGGTATCGACGATAATCTGCAGCCACAGACAGAGGAGCATGGCAATTAATTAGCGAGGAGACACACACATTTAAATTCGGAAGGAAGGAAAAGAAACCACGAGTCCTAGTTTTCAAAATGATCAAAAAAATATATATAAAAAAATCAACAAGGAACTTCACCAGGGCAATTGAGTGAGAACAGGGGCCATAGTGATGGGGAAAAATATCAATATCTCCACCACAAGCAGTGCCAACTGCGTGTGCGAGAATCGCCGCAGGTCCGTGTGATGTGTGCGTGCGGTGTTGTGTGTGTGGTGTGGATTGCATTGGACACTGCAGCCTTGCAGGGGTGGGGTGGATATCAGGACCCGTATGGTTCCAGTTTTGAACACTGTGTCCTGGCTGTTGTGGTTAAGATACTTGGCTTCTGAGGCCGAGGTCGCCGGTTCAAATCTGTGCTTGCACGGAGGATGACTTTGGCCTCTATGTACGGATCTATGAACCACATTGCGTTTGCTGGGTAAAAAAAAAAAAAAAAGAGATCAGGGCCCGTGAGCCTCTGTCTTCCAACTCCCCTCCCACTTAAAAAAATAAAAAAAGCGAGACAAGAACCTCAAGGCATACATGACCAACGAAGGATTTCTTGCATGAATCTGGACGTAGTTAAAGTAAGATACTTCTGGAAACTGAGCATTAGACTCTGCCCTCAGTTCCACGTACCGGTCAATCACTACTGATTCACCTGAAAAGGAAGACAGACAATTCATGTACAAGGAGGAGCAATGGATTGTATTGAAATTTTGAGAATATTTCAGAATGTTTTGAATTTGGAGAACGTTTTGGAATGTCTCGACTCTCGAGTCTTGAGAATTTTGAGATTTTTTTACGACGAGTTCACCTTTGAGAATTTCGATAATTGTGAGTTTTTTTTCAACAATTATCTCGAGTTTTGAGAAATTTTGACAACCGTAGAGACAATGTATATTACAGGATTTTGAGAATTTTGACACCCTGAGCTCTTGAATTTTGAGGATTGTTCGCAAGATATCGTCTTGAGATTTTATTCGTTGACATCATGTCATGCCATTCGTGCTTTTTGACATGTTATGCTACCAACAGGGATCCGAAGTCTCTTTCATGACGAAAAGTCCTCTTCCAACCTCCAATCAAAAACAATCTTTTAGCGCCTGATGGTCTCTCTACCAGCAGGTGCGGACATCACTTATTCTCTATCATCCACGATTATACCTTTTTTACCCGCATACAACGTACCGTAATTAATGCTGTATCTAGACTCGAAGTTGCCCCAATTACAGCTATAATACCTGTACGTTGGCAGCCATAAAACTACACCACAGTACAGTCTGAAGAGTTCTTTGCTGATCCTACCGACAGCTGCTCGAAGACCATGTCACGCTGCAACTCCTTGTGGAGTCCGTCAGTCTGAGACCCTTGCCTACTCCTCTGCTGCCTTTCTCTTCCTCCGACAATATCCCCTTCCAGAACCACCCTCCTCCTTCACGCCAGTGCCCTGCAGCTATGGCGCTTGTCATCTAACTCAGTCCAGCTAAGGCTTTTTTTTTTTTTTTTTTTTTTTTTTTT